TGTAGTCCTTAAGTGTTTATTTTATTGACTTTTTCTGTTCAAAAAATATAAAATAAGGTTCGCCAGTGCCAAATTTGCAAGAAATTTGACTTAAATAATCCATTTAAGTCTTGAAACGACTTTTGACCGGTAGGCAACTCTCAATTTACCCATTGGGAGTCAGTGGCGTTGTTGTAGAAAGGCGCTTATTTAGATAATATTTTAGTAAAATGTAAAATCTGAATTTTTTCTTTTACATTACATTATTTACTTACTTACATTGTAACAAAACCATAATCATAACCCTGTTAATAATTAATAATGTTTTTATTAAAAATATATTCCGGTTTATTCAAAAATTATCTTCAGAATCTAAAATAACATACAAGAATTTTAAAATGATATTACATTATGAAACAATATTTTTTAATATACCGGGTCGTCTCAAAAGTGGCTCACCCCTATAACTTTTTTATTTTTTCAGATAAAAATAACAGATTTGTAAGGGTGACTCATTAGCATATTTGGAAAAAGCATTTTTTTATGAATATATTGATACCACACACTTGGTATTTCGAGTCAAATTGTCGTTATGAACCGCGTGTTACAATTACAATTAAACCATATGCGAAAATGTCAAAAGTTGACATATGATATGTCATTCTATTCAGAGTGTCATTTTCTATCGAATAAAGTAGAAGTATACCGAGGGTGCCGTTTAAAAATTAAAAGTTATAGTCATTTCCGGTGAAACAGGAAGTGACCAAAAACAATTGAATGCGTCAATCAATCCTAATTTATTTCATATACTAACATACTAAATCTTGTATTTTTATTTGAAAATATAAAAAAATTATGGGGGATGAGCCACTTTTGAGACGCACCCGGTATAATAAAGTAAACAATCATATGTTTTTTTCTCTCCCTGTCGCCGATTCTATTATATCTGTGCAATGACTAAAGAATATAAGGACATGTAACGCCCCTGTACGGGCTGTAGTAGAATTTGTGACGTTAGACGCCATTCGTTTGATGCCAAACAGTGAGTCATCATCCAGTCACCAGCGACAATTTTAGCGATTTTTAATAGTTTGTTGTGTGTAGTGAACTTTGTATAAACTTTGTTACAATGGTGAATTGTGTAGCTTTCAAGTGTAAAAGCCACAGCGACAAGAAAGAGCCAGGAGTTACGTTTCATAGGTAAATAAACAGTCCACTCCAACTTTTTAGCGTTTTCTTATTGAATTCGATAATTATTCTCAATTTCAATTAACATCTATATGTACTTGATATGTGCTATACGTCGATACTAGTTTTGTATCTTTGTTAACATTTTAGTACGTTTTTTCGTAATTAGTTAGGATGATACACCATAGGCGTAGTCAAAACAATTATCAAAAAATATAAATATTGCTTCAAACAGCTAGGTTAAGAAAAATATGTGCCACGGCACTGTTTGATGCCAGCGTCACAATTTGCTGTCGGGTGTTATTTGTCCTTGGATTCTTTAGTCATTGTATCTGTGGAATAGATCCTGTTTTGATTAATATTAGGGGTTGTAAATATTTGACTAAAATTAATAATTTATTATTAATTTCAAAAATTACCTAATTTAGATTATAAAATTTCTTCTATAACGTGCATTTTATTATTTTTATCCTTTTTGGACTCTAAATTGTTTTTTCTAAAGTTTTATTTAAAAAACCTGTCCTAAATCTTAATAAAATATAAAAAAGTTTAAATACGATATACTTTTAATTTAATTATAGCTTCATTAAAATAAAAAAATTACCCGGCTATGATACGGAGAGTTCAGGTGTACTTGAGAAACGAAAGACAGTGTTGTGTTTCTCGGCAGAGTCGTCAGGGAACGACCGTTACGACAGAGACAACCTATCTATCGCTCGTGTCGCACTCGTTATAACCTAAAACAATAACACAACAATAACAAGACAGTGTCTGACCGCATGTTCCAGCTATTTATGAATGAGATGCTCAGTCTATATTTTATTTTAAGTCTATGTTTATTACCTTGTAGTACGTGTCGCACGTGTGCGGTAAAGCTTTGTTGCCGCTATCTCCCCGGCTGTATTAACGCATTTTCTTAGCTTGTAGTCCTTAAGTGTTTATTTTATTGACTTTTCTGTTCAAAAACTATAAAATATGGTTCGCCAGTGCCAAATTTGCAAGAAATTTGACTTATATAATCCATTTAAGTCTTGAAACGACTTTTGACCGGTAGGCAACTCTCAATTTACCCATTGGCAGTCAGTGGCGTTGTTGTAGAAAGGCACTTATTTAGATAATATTTTAGTAAAATGTAAAATCTGTTAATAATTATTGCAAACCCTGTTAATAATTAATACTGTTTTTATTAAAAATATATTCCGGTTTATTCTAAAATTATCTTCAGAATCTAAAATAACGTACAAGAATTTTAAAATGATATTACATTATGAAACAATATTTTTTAATATACCGGGTCGTCTCAAAAGTGGCTCAACCCTATAACTTTTTTTATTTTTTCAGATAAAAAAACAGATTTGTATGTTAGTAGGTATAGTATATATATAAATTAGGATTTATTGACGTATTCAATTGTTTTTGGTCTCTTCCTGTTTCACCGAAATGATTACATCTTTTGATTTTTAAAGGCACCCTCGGTATATTGCTACTTTATTCGATAAAAAATGACACTCTGAATAGAATGACATATCATATGTAAACTTTTGACATTGTCGCTTAAAACATATCCTATTTTAAATTTCAATCCAGTTTTTTTTTCAATCCACTAAGTTTTAATCAAGGAGCCTTGGAAAAATAGTTTTGATCGTCTAATAGGTTTCGTGTCTTGTCTAGGCCGGTTAAAAGATGTACAAATCGTATTTTTAATCATACATATATCAATTTTTTCAAATGGAACAAGGATGACTCATTAGCATATTTGGAAAAAGCATTTTTTTATGAATATATTGATACCACACACTTGGTATTTCGAGTCAAATTGTCGTTATGAACCGCGTGTTACAATTACAATTAAACCATATGCGAAAATGTCAAAAGTTGACATATGATATATGTCATTCTATTCAGAGTGTCATTTTCCATCGAATAAAGTAGAAATATACCAAGGGTGCCCTTTAAAAATTAAAAGTTATAGTCATTTCCGGTGAAACAGGAAGTGACCAAAAACAATTGAATGCGTCAATCAATCCTAATTTATGTTATATACTAACATACTAAATCTTGTTTTTTTTATTTGAAAATATAAAAAAATTATGGGGATGAGCCACTTTTGGGACGCACCCGGTATAATGAAGACAGTACCGAGTTAAATAAATGTAGTTTTCATTTTATCCACTTTCTATCACCTTCCTTGCTTTAATGGAACAGGTTTATGTTTTCTCTAATTTACATAATAAGACATCACTTAACCAGAAATAAAATTACAACAATCATATTTTTTTTTTCTCCCTGTCGCCGATTCTATTATATCTGTGGAATAGATCCTGTTTTGATTAATATTAGGGGTTGTAAATGTTTGACTAAAATTAATAATTTATTATTAATTTCAAAAATTACGTAATTTCGATTATAAAATTTCTTCTATGACGTGTATTTTAATATTTTTATCCTTTTTGGACTCTAAGACGTTTTTTCTAAACTTTTATTTAAAAAACCTGTCTTAAATCTTAATAAAATATAAAAAAGTTTCAATACGATATATTTTTAATTTAATTATAGCTTCATTAAAATAAAAAAATTACCCGGCTATGATACGGAGAGTTCAGGTGTACTTGAGAAACGAAAGACAGTGTTGTGTTTCTCGGCAGAGTCGTCAGGGAACGACCGTTACGACAGAGACAACCTATCTATCGCTCGTGTCGCACTCGTTATAACCTAAAACAATAACACAACAATAACAAGACAGTGTCTGACCGCATGTTCCAGCTATTTATGAATGAGATGCTCAGTCTATATTTTATTTTAAGTCTATGGTTGAGACTATTTTTTATGAAAACAAAATGTGTTTTATTTTAGTCTTTTTTAAAATTATGCCATTTAAAACAATAACACCATAAACTTTATTTTAATCATTTATTTACTGTCGACATAATAAACACTCCAACATATTAATAATAAAAAATATATATCAATTTTTATCTACCATTGTGATGAAAATTTTCCGAAATTTTCTATCAAGTTCCATTCTTTCATTATGCCTGGTTATTTTAATCTAAATGTTTTAAACCACTTAAGTTTTGTAGTTTAGTTTTCATTTTTTTCCTATTGGATGTATCCGATAGTGCTTTTCCGCAGTCAGTATCTTCAGAATTACTTGTTGGCTTTTTATTTATTTAAAATCTAGAGTTACTTGATGTTATGCTGATTGGCTAATTTTCACGATCACTAACAAAATATCATGTATTTGATCAACATTAGATAAAGTAATTTCAGATAAAACGGTTATTAAAAAACTTTATACTTCTATGCGGACCGTTACTTTTAAAATTACTCTAGAAATGATCAGCTAATTAATTCTATCCACCTCGTTAGGAGGGTTAGTAGGATCACAACATATGACAAAAATCGAGTTATTCGGATCACTTTCCGAACGCATTGACTCGTTTTGAGATCACTTTTCGAACGTCTGGATTAGCAATCCTATCAATCCGATCACAGTTTCCGAAAACCCCTTTATATATAGTAGATTACTTTCTTTTATCTATGATTTATATTTATGTCACATGCATTAAGGTACATTCAGGCTGAGAGCGTCGGCGTCACGTCCGCCTCATTGAACTCGAACCCCGACGCTCAGCGCACGCTAGCGCAACGCCAAACGCGACGCTGTCTGCCTGAACGGTCTAATTTAAGTTAAGTGAATTGATTCCATTTCGACACGCGGACGCGACGAAAACGCGACGCGACGCGACGCTCGACGCTCTCGGCCTGAATGTACCTTTAAATTCAAATTGATTAAAATACAGGTCAGGCAGATGAAGCATATACATTGTATATGAGATGAAGGGACAAGAACTATTTTTATTAATCATTCATATACCATCTTGAAAATCAATGATTTTTGTTTTTAATTCTTTGCTAGTTTTTAAACAAGCATAAATAAAGATTTAATCAGAAAATCATATTATTAATTAAATTTCCTTTATATACAACATATTTGAGTTGATGCGCTCTTAACTCCTGGCGCTTGTTACCGGTTGCATTTGTTGTTGTGCCCCCTCCCCTTGTTCCCTCGGGGGACTCTGTACCTGCAGTCTGCTTCTCAACACTGCCGCTCTCAATACCAGCATTCTAGCTCTTCTTCTCTGTTCCTTACCCACAGCCAAACCTCTCTCAAAGGTACTGCCTCTCTGATCCGCATCCCTTGCAAAAAGAACCTTAAAAAAAGGCTTGTTAGTGTTCCTTTTCATGTAATTTTATCTTTAGTATTACTTTATTATGAGAATCAATACGAGCTTGAATTTGTCCATCTAAAATAAGTTTCATAAGTTCATCTTCAAGAGCAGGTACTGTCCTTCCAAAAGCCTGTGCCATACGCCGTAAGTCTGCAGACATGTATGGGCTAAAAATAAAAAAAATCAGTCTAAATGAATAACAGTCAGTCTTTACTCACCTAAAATACTGTACAAGAGCTCTGCTTCTGATCTGTGAGTACAAAGCTGGTACATGAGGTGCTAGATATAAATCTAAGAGCAATGCATCCTTCATTTCTTCAAGTAATTTTAAGCAAGCTGCATATTTTGACTCATAGAATTTTAAAATAGCATCCCTAAGAGCCGGTTCCAGTTCCAAAAATGGTTTAAATCCTAATATAGGGATATTATTTATAAATACTTTAAAATTTATAAAAATTTGTACCTCCATTATTTACAACATGTTTTTGAAGCTCAGGCCTATCAAAAGTTGCTAAAGCACATAGGCCACCATATGTAGCTACATTTCCAGGTGAGAGAAGTTCAGGAAAATCACAATGGTCTAAACTAGCCTAAAAGCAATCATCAGTAACATTTTTTTTATTTCATAACTATTGTTTACTTGTAAAAAGTGTTTAGCTGCTTGTTTATACTTCCTAGTTGCGAGCTCTGCGAGACCTGCTGCACATCTTAATTTAGTAAATATCACAGGATTATTCTCTTTTGCCTGGGACTCGGAGAAATCTAAAGTCATCAATAAATATAATTTATTTTGAATGTCTGAAATATAACTAACAAACCGGGTGTTCCTTCGGCTTTTGCTACATAACTTAAAACATGAGACCAATTCTGAAGATAAACTGATACTTTTATTACATTGAGACACATATTTACTACATGTTTTCCACTAGTGCAGTAATCTCTAGCCCTCGAATAACATTTTAAAGCATTTGATAAATCACCACAATCTAAGTAGTGATCTCCTAAATCATCATGACCTCTAAAATTAAATATCTTCCAGTAAATTAAAATAAAATCATTAGGGTGTCACCTTCGAATGCTCTCCTTTATAGAATTGCTCTTATAATTCTTTAAATCATTATCTAACTTTTCTAACTTAAGAGCCAACTTTTTTAATCTTGTTTCAACCCACATATTATCAATAGTTGGGATATCTTGAGATGCAGATGGAGCAGCTACATCAGGAACATTTAAGTTAGTAGTTAATTCATTTAATCTTTGATGCAACACCTAAAAACATTTAAATTTCATCTTAAGAGCTCTGCCAACATAAAAACTTTTAACCTGGTATAAATTAACATTATAAGTAGTCATAACATATGATATAGCAATTTTTAAAGCTTCTAATCTCAATGCTGGGCAATGATCAACTACAAAAATAAGTCGGTACAACTTAGCTAAGCCTGTATAACTATTGGCGTAGGCTTCTAAATCTAGTGTAGGGTTTTCCACCACATAAAAGGGCTCCTCATTGTTATCATTATCTTCAGGAGGAGCATCAACTTGCATTGGTTCCACTGCATTCTGCAAAAAACGCATTTCTTACTATACAGATAGCTCTACAAAGGGCCTTAACACTTTGACGTATGACATTTTTTTAATTATGAAATTAAAATTATTCAGTTACCTGAGCCATGGCCATAAACTGCAACAGTGGCATACTTTATACTTTTAATATCTCTTCAGTCGCTTTTTGTTCTATAACTTTGATTATTTATAAGTCTATCTTACACTTTTGTAGCTTTAAACATTAATGGAGTAATTTTAATTTCAAATACTAGCAGAATATTACTAGAAGTGAGTAAAATTATATTTTGAAGATAACATAACATTGAAGTATATACTTTTTTACTTTTTTTAATCTATGGCTATCTGCAAAATATATGGTTCTTAGACAAGGAAAGAGAGGGGACTGGGGGACGGGTAACACCTGGGTAACACCATAAAGTAACTAAAATAAAAGTTTTATATTTCTCTATGGGTAACACACATTCTCCCGTGATAGGTTAGTGGAGGCCAAAATTCGATCGGCGGCCATACTTTGGTGACAAGATTTCGAGGTGACACCGAGCGAATTTTTATGTTTTTTGTGACAACTGTTTTGTTTTAAGTTTATAAACTGTGTTGTTTAGTACGGTGAGATGTTCAGCGTATATAAAGTGGCTGGAATTACATTTCACAGGTAAAAATCGATACACAACTTTTGTTATGTGGTCATAAAATGTACATTTTTTTCATTATAACGACAGTGAACAAAGAAGTCGAATTTCGCGAGAAAGACGCAGATATATTAAAATTTAAAGGTCCCATTATGGAGTGTAGAGGTAAGGAGAAATAACTCTTACGCAGAGAATAGGTACATTAAAGAAATGCTAACTTCATGTTAAAAAATGGAAACAGACGCCACCTGGTGTCGCCTGGCAGTACTAGCGAAATTGAGGGGAATTGGAGGGGCGGGGCTTAAAAGAGGGGAAATTTTTAAAAAAATATTTTTATAAGAATCACTGACTTACTGTTTAAAGTTAAT